ATAAAAGCGGCATTTAACGGCAAAGAAATTACATAAAAAGGAAAAGAAAAACAAACGCTAATAAATTATTAAGTAAATGCTGCAATAAACAAGAAATGTAAAGATCACGAACCCCATCTACGCATTTCCGATACACTCTCTGTCATTCAGCAAAGTCTTATGATGTTTTTAAAGCGGAATATGATAAAATGGGATGATATTTTAGGTGGCTATTAATTTATTGCTATTGAGTCCGCTATCTACTGTTGAACAAATTTTGTACAATATTTCAGATGGAATTGTACCTATATTAAATACATTTGTATATGCTTTTTAAAATACTCAATGACACCACAAATAATAGGAATATATTTTACAAAATTTAAATCTTTTAAATTTAATTATTGTTTATTTATTATAAACAGTTGGATAAGAGACTTTTAATCAGGGAGAGACTTTTTAATCTCACCAATATAGTCGATATACCCGAAGCTTGGGTGTGAAAATGTCTCCGAGACATCCGTGCTCCGATTTCGCAATGGATGCCATCCACAGCGTCATCACGTCATGGAATTAGCCTTACCGTTTTGATTATGCTTGCCGAATTAGATAATTTCGAGTGTGAGCCATATCCATAAATGTTTTATTTTTGGCTTGTTTTTCGATTTTCGGTTTGCTAGATGCATATTAGCGCTCCACGGAAAGTGAAAGTGATGCGGCCGATCCGGAGTCCGAATCGTGCATTTATAATTTGTATCTCCAGCGGCGGTTGCCAGGTGGGCCTGCTCGGCGGTTATGCTAATGGGCGTGGCAGGTTTTTCAGCTAAATGATTACAGCACAGACCGCTAATTTGTGTCTGTCCGTCGGATCTGACCTTTCCCTGCGCCTCGGGGGCTGAGGCCGCAGTTCCCATGACAGGGCAGCCAAGCCAACTCCCTACAACTCCAGCTGACAGTGGGCCATTAAAGCAGTCATAAGTGAGTAAGAGTGAGCTTGCATCTCTCACTGCATTGGAGACGATGGAAGATCGGGCATTACGACTGTGTCGTAAACCTCATCCCGGGAAAATTCTCACCTTTGCACGGCAATAAACAGCTAAAAGAAAGTCAATTACCACTGTGTTTGAATGCTACCAGCAGTTGGAAAACCCTCATATCTAAGGAGTTTGTTAATTGTGTTTGTGTGAAAACTGCTTTGTTAATTAAAAATGTTAATATGCATAATAACCCGATGATTCACTTAGTCGTAGAAATGAAAAAGAAGTTTTAAAAGATATGATCAATTTAAAAAATGGTAAAGGTATGGCCAAAAATAATTATTTGTATATTAATTTAGTTTTATCCAGCAAACTAATTGGCTTGCCTAGAATAAAATGATAACAAAACAATCGAGAATTTAAGACTCAAATGAAGCTGGAGTTTTTACAGATTTTAAATCATTATTTTGCAAGAGCAACTAAGCTTTGCCAACTAAGGAATTAAAAACTTTTCTCATCTCTTAGGTCTTCAACTTTTTTGTTTTGAACTGGGCCAAAGAAATGACGCCCACTTGACTCTTTGTTGCTCTGCATGTTAAAAATGAAGATATTAAGTGGCAGTTGCAGTTTGTTTTGCGTTTTCACTCCGTGATTGACTGCAGTGCCATCGCTATTATCATTGGCATTGTGGGAGTTTGTTGCCATTTTTGTTGCGGTGTATGTCAACACCCACCCGACGGTAATGGTAATGGTAATGGCCATGGCAATGGGAATGGCAATTGGGAGTGCTAGGTCCGGCACTCACTTCGTCATCCGTTCAGTCGTTCATTCATGCAGTTTTTGAGCTTGTAAGTTTGTTAGCTTGCATTTTCCAGCTGCAGCGCTGCACGCGCCGCAGTGAATGTTGTTGTCTATGATGGAAAAGGAAAATTTAACCTGAACTTTCTTTTTTTGTGTACTGCTGCAGTGTCAGCCACAATGGCAACTGCGATATAAATAAAATATAAGTACATATATATGTTCATGCCCCGCTCCGCTCTGCTCTTTTCCACAGCCACAGATTTCGGCGTTTAAGGTCTGCAGCTGAAACCAGTTGAGCGGTTATGAGTTTTACTCTTAATTTTAACCAGACAAATGCAAAAGGTAACCTGTTGATATGGCCCGCCAAAACAATAGAACAAAAAGCGGTTCACAGGCCTTATCCAATCCCGATCCGATGCACTCTTGCTTTTGGCCTGAGAGACTGGCTCTTTGTGGTGGCCATTCATTTGGGCGGGGACTCGGATTCGAGGTCTGCGGGGCCGATGCAGTGAAAGTGTCGTTTCTCATGTCTTCTGCATGCCAGAAACTCCCAGCAACCAAGCGGGGAATATAAAAATTTAATTAAATGTCAAATAATTCAACATTCGGCTGCTGAGCAGATTTGCATCCCTACATGCACTGCTAAAACCTCAGTACAAAAATGGGAATTCAAAAACACGTTTTTCAAAAAAACAATTAAAACTTTCAATATTAAGTAGAAAAAATATTATTATTAATAAAAGGAGTAGAATTTTTTTTTATTAAAAAATAATTATTTTCTCTTTTATTTGACTCAAAATTGTTTAATAGCCAAATAGAAACAAAACCACTACACAGAAAGTGTTAGAATTTCTGTTCGAATTTTGAAAGTTTACTTCTTAATAACATTTAAAATTCGTTGATCACTTTCAGAAAATTTTAATCATTTTAAGAAAATTATTTTTAAAAAACGTTGTTACATTTTGAACATTATTTAATGATTTTGGATTCAAAATCACCTTCCTAAACTAAAATTGATGGATTTTGAATTAAAATCGATTATATTTTTAGCTCAGTGCTGAGGGATAACATAAGGATGATTTAGCGGCTATAAGAATATATCATCCGATTTACCCTTGTACAACATGATATTGATATTTTCCCTTGTTTGAGCTTTAAATTTGTAAAAGATGACCAAAATTTTCTGCGTTTTCTGCGTTGAATTTTTCTTTCCGTGAACTGCAGTCAAAGATTCACGCATTGCGTGGCGGTTCCCTGCCACCAGATGCATACGAAATTCGCTTTCACTGGGACAAGACGGTCTGAGCCGAGCTTTGGCTGATCTGGAAAAGCGTTTTCACACCGCTCAGCTGCCGCTGCTGGGGCCCAATTCATAAGCGCATTTTCATTGCATTTTCACACATTCATAACACTTTAATTAACTATTTTCAACACTTTCGTGGGGTCTGCGGCACTCGCATCCTGCTCGCGGTCATTTGCCGATATCCGATGCGAGCGATCCACTCGCATTTCGCCAAACTCTCTAGCCCGGGGATGCGATGATGACTTTCATTTGCCTGGGCTCCTGGTCACTGTCTATTTGCGTACTTTTACCTGTCCCAGCCAGTTAGTTAGTCACTCTAGCCAGTTACTTAGTTAGTTGGGGACAGCTGTGGGTCGCGCTACTGGTGTTTGCCCGTCGATAACTCAGCCTGCTGGACGCCACTGGTGTCTTTGGCCAGTTAGCCACGGCAGCTGTTTGTTTTGGCGGCATCTTACTTGACAACGCATAAAATTTGCACATCCATCGCGAAGAAGGGCAGACCCCGCATACCACACATTTCTCGCAGATGTATCCGCAACTTTCCCTTTTCTGAATGGGGTTATGATTATTATTATTGGCACTGTGACTGCCATTTGTTTCTGGCCGCTGACTTGGTTTTGGCATAGATATTCTGCCCTCAGAACGTGATCGGTTTTTGTTCGGAATATCTAATGACCACACACAGAGAAATAATAAGCGATATTAATTTATCATTGTCATCTTTATTTAAACATGTTATTTTTTTAGCAAAAATCTTAACTAGCCCTTGTCGGAGATGACTCGATAAATGCTAGTGTTAATGTCAGTATATCCAATGTAGCAAATTATGAATTTGTATGGTCTAACAATGGGGGATTTTACGTTTTAGGAAAAATTAAAATAGGTTGTATCGTTGATTTAATAAGAATGTATTTCAAATTATGTACAAATATTCGCTTTATCCTTCGTTTTCTTATTTAAGTTTCTAATTGAAGAAAAATAATTTGTTTACAACCACACAAAGCTATGCAAATACAAAAATGTTTACAGTTTTCAGCAAAAAACATGTTTTAAGTATTCGTAAGCAACAAAGGAAGAAATATAGTGTTTATTTTGTTCCTCAAATATAATTTTAAATTATTGTATTCTAACTAACTAACTAACATTGTTATACTATGTATATATCCCTGAAATCTGGTATTTAAAAGTCCACCTTAATTTAAGATTTTGGTAAATTTATACGAAAGATTGCTAAAAAGGTAATTACAAACTTAGAAATTGAAAATTGTTCTGTTTTGTAGTATTTGGGGAAACTGATTTCAAATGTGAAGAGTTAATATTTTGTTTTTAAAAATATGTTCTTTATAATTCAATAATAGTCAAAATAATAGTCATTCGGATATGCAAAACCACCGTTCTGTTCACCTGAGCCTCTCGCTCCAAGCGCTCGACTGAGCTTGAAAGGGAAATGCTTTTACTTACTTTTACAAAAACTCATTTTCAATTAAAGCCCAGACAATTAAGATTACGACTACGATTTTCGGCACTTTTTGGCCCGCTCTCCGCCGCGGTGGGTAAAAGTTGTTGGTTGTTGTTGGTTATTTCGCTGGTTTCCCACCGGCAGGAGGCTGCGACTGTTGACAATGTTACATGAACTTCGGGCGAAAGCAGCGCTGCGGCAGCGACAGCTTACAAATTACAGTAACAATGCTTCTCCAGCTGCTGCCGTTGCCGCTGTAGCTGCAGCGCTACCGATGTCGACGGCGACGCCGACTGCGCATTACCGTTGGCCGGCCAAACGAAAGACTTAAGCGAGAAACTTGCACGACTAGTTTGGGGGAACTGCTGCTGGCGGCCAGGGGGCTGGTGGGGCGGAGAAATGCTTTCGCAGCAGATGAGCATGCCGATGCCGAAGTCGCTGCCACTGCCGCCGTATATAAATTGTCGTGTGCGGTGGAAAATTGTATCATTCAATCCTTAACCGTCTGAGCAGCTACACGGCAGCAGCAGTGAGCCAAGACCGAAAAACACAAAAAATACAGTTTTCCATTCAAGAGAAAGTGCGTTCGCCGCCGAACTACGTGACAGTGTAGTGTGGATCCGAAAAGGACTATCCAAAAGAACCCCAATCGAAAACCGTGCAAGAACAAACAAAAAAACAACAAACCGCAAAATGGCAAGCCATAAAGTTACTTTCGGTGTCTTGTGTCTGGTCGCCCTGAGCGCCGCCCTTCCCGCCGAGGAGACGCGCGGCCACGCCCGCAACGCCATCGGCGGCGAGAACGACATTATGGATAGCATCTACAGCGACTGTCTGCGCAAGGACTCCGTCTCGTGCGTCAAGTACAAGCTGTTCAACTTCGTGGACAAGGTGCTGGGCGCCCGCGACCAGTTCGCCCTGACCGAGGGCGTGACCGTGGTCCGCTCGCCGGACGCCCCGCAGCAGGAGGCCGCCCGCTCCATCTCCGGCGACGAGTCGTTCGAGTCCCTGGCCCTGAACCGTATCAGCAGCTTCCTCAACTCGCACACCATCAAGGTGGAGCTGAAGGGCGCCGACATCGTGCAGGCCGTCAGCTCGACGGGCCGTGCCCTGGAGGACGCCTCCGAGTCCCTGTTCGGCTCCAACGACCCCAACGCCCCCGAGGAGAGCCGTGGCAAGAAGAAGAAGGCCGCCAAGATCCTGGGACCCATCCTCGCCCTGGTCGCCCTGAAGGCCGCCGCCCTGCTGCCCCTGCTGTTGGGCGCCATCGCCCTGATCGCCGGCAAGGCCCTGCTCATTGGTAAGATCGCCCTGGTGCTGTCCGCCGTGATCGGCCTGAAGAAGCTGCTGTCGCAGGAGAAGCACGTGACCTACGAGGTGGTGGCCCACCCGCACCACAGCAGCAGCCACTCGACGAGCCACGACTCGTACGGCAGCGGCTACAGCGCCGACGCCGGAGCCTCCTCGGCCTCCTACGGCAGCAGTGGCCACGGCGGCTGGGGCCGTTCCATCGACGCCCAGGACCTGGCCTACGGAGCCCAGAAGCCCGTCCAGGCCTAAGTCACAGGACCACCATCACACTCAAGAAGAAGAATCAGAATCAGAATCAGAATCGCGAACACACACGACTTGAGCTGAAGAGCTCGCCCGAGACTCTCGAAGAGGAACACACATTATTTATCGTTCGTTTTAATTAATTTATTAATTTAATTTATTTTATTTATTTCTCCAAGCAATGAAAACGAAAAAGAATGAATCACACACACACGCAACATAATGTTAAACCGGACAGAAACCATAATCAGAACCATATATGTTAGTTGTTAAAACTGATGAAGCTAAAGTTAAGTTTGTAAAAAGAGCGGCCAGCGAGAGTTACCCCACAAGTTGCAAATACTCAGCCTTAAGTCTAAGCTCGCACAGCACTTCCCCGAACCATCAGCCACTCGATCACCCCAACTGCATCTATATCTAAAGCACTCTCATCTCTCTGCCTCTATATCTAATCTGCATATACATCTGTTCAATCCATCTCTCTGAATCTGTGCTTTCATCTCTAAAACCGTATACTGCCTATACCAAAACTCTGTCGATTGCCATGCAATCGGAGCAACGTACAAATCTAAACTCTACCATCTATATCTGTACTCTGTACTCTGTACTCTTTACTCTGCCTGTTCAACTATGTTCTTCACATGCAATTCTAGTCTTACAATACAACAACACCAGCAACAAGCATGCCTACTATTAGCTTTAACTCCACTAGCTCTAACTCTACTCTATCCTATATCTTCACCTGTCAATCTATGTCTTCTATCCTTCATTTCTCGCCTACAACTGAGTCATAGTTTTGGTCATTCGCATGCCATCACTTGCCATAGGTCTCCGAACACACATACGCCACACCAAACTGAACTCATTTTCCGGCTACCTTCGAGCCACTATTTCCTCACTCGACACTCGACTTCCACTTCGACTCTTCAACTTTCTCATTTCTCCTATCTGCCATCTCTTTCCGCCGTCTCTGCATCTGTCACTTTCTAGCGCTCTACTTTCCCAAAAAAAAAGCCCCACTACTCACACATGCACACGCCTAGCTCCCTAACATTAGTTAAAAATATTTTTTTTCAATATTTTAACTCCTTAAGCGTACTTTATGCATCCGCGCGACTCGAACCGCTTGTCGGCCCGATTGGTGCCAAGCTCTCCTGCTCTGTGGACCTAAACAGATTTTTAATTATCAACTTAAAAATACCTTGTTTGTGACATTTGGAGGGCTCTCTAGCCAGCGGGCGCAAGTTTCGAGTCGCCAGCACGTCGTCTACTTTAATTTAAATATTTTAAGCAAAGTCGTACGGCGCTTTCACAACTATAACTCCGGCAACAGTAGTAAGATGATGATGATGACGAAGAAGAAGCGTGAAGCTGCAGATGTGGGCAACTCACAAGACACAGATCACAAAACTCACTCACAAAAGAATGTAAATTCCATAGATTACAATACCCCTCTCTCTGTCACACATGCATGTCATTAAAGAAAAAATGATGAAAAACAATACACAAAAAAAGTTGAAAAAACACAAAACACAACAGCAAGGAAGATTAATAAATAAAAAATCAATGAAAAATCAAGACAAGTCTCTATAATTTATGGCATACCATGGGGTGAAAGCGAAACGACAAAACCGAAAGCTCTATGCATAATTCCAAAACGAAGACGAAAACTGGCCGTTGACAAGTCCATCTTGGGTCGAAATGCTTTCATTTCATTTCATTTCAAGTGAAATTGATTTGCGACCCAGTTGCCCCAGCGAATTTCAAAGATTTGCCCGTTAATAGGTGTAAATAATTATGACTCGGGTCTGGCCAAGACAGGTTAACGAAATCCCAATAAACCCCGCTGGCAACGGCAACATGAGCCACCGACAGTGAAAGTAAACAGTTAGGAAACCGAAACAGCAGCTAAGGCCACGAGCCCCGAACAACCGCGATTGCAGTGAAAAGTCTTAGAAATTGTGGCACATGGCCAAGACCAAAAAGCGTTTTCCAAGCCGCTCTAAATGTGGCCGCGGCCGTTGCCGTTGCCGCTGCCGCTGCCCAACGAATGGCCGGGCGAAAACAAAAGACAGGTTAATGCGCATTAATGTTAACAACTCATTTGAGCAGCTGCCAAGCTTGAGCAAACATTGACTGACCACTGTCAGTCTTCTTGTGGCGGACGCCGCTCACTTAATCAAAAGGAAATTACGAAAATTTTAGGCTACGCTCGGTTGGAAATTATCTCAAAGAGACCGCTTGGTGCCACCAAATGTCAGCCGAGATTTAGAAAATACCCATTTAGGAGATTTACATGGGATTATGCTTGCTTTTTAGCTTTGGGGTGTTTTCATTTTAATATTCGGATGGAGAGTGGCCCTCGCCAGAGAAATTGTTAATGGCTATGTAAAAGGGGTATTCATTTAATTGTCAAAACTTTACTTTAAAATATCAGAATACCTTGATCATTCATTATGTTTAATGTTTAATAAAAACATTTTGTAACCAATATTTCTTCAAGGATTCTGGTTTTAAAAATACTCGGTCATTTAAATTACTATTAAAATAAAATACCCACTAAACAATATCCAGCGCACCCGAGCATAAATGTTATTCAGCCGCTATGTCCCACAAAATCAACAATTTTTTTCTGAACTTGTTAACGTTCTTCGGCTCCTATCCAGCCTATTTTCGATTCTGATAAATTTCGTTTATTGCTGCTGCTAAACACAGTGGTATATGCAAATCGAGTAACCAAAACGAAAGCCCGACTCAGTGATTTGGAGCGAGCAACGGTTGTGCCGCTAGAGAAATGGCGCCTTGGCGGCAGCCAAACTGGTGCGGCATCAGCATCACAGTGCACCGTGCTGCACCACCAGCTGCATCGCCACCAATTTCACATTCTGAAAACCAGATAAAAAACCACACAAAATTTGCAATAATTCATAAGGGGAACTCCTCTGGTGGAGGGGGACAAAGCTGCGAAGGAGAATCGTGCAGAGTGGCCAATTTGGAACCAATTTCACTGTCAACTGGGCGACGGCAGAGAGGGGGTGTGGGGAGGGGATGCCTGCAAGGGCGTCGTCGCAGCGTGTGCAGAATGTTCAACGAAATGAAAACGAGTTTGGGCTCCGAAAGCAGGTCACCAGAACGTAGACAACAACCAGGGGCGGTCCCGAAGCCAAAGTTGATTGTCGGCCTTGCAGCACTGCGCTTTCCAGCAAAAAGACAGCAAAACGACTAGCAGAAACCAGAAAAAAAATTAACCAAATGGAAAATAAACGAAATGAAGAGCCAGAGAGTCGGTCCGACTAATAATATTATTAGGCGCTCGACATTACCGCCGCTACCATCATTTTCCGCTCCAGCACGTTTTTCCCACACTCGTCATTCGACAGACAAAACACGCATCTGAATTTATGATTACACCAATTGTTGGCGTAGTTATGCTCACCGGGCATTAAGCGAACTGAGCGCATTAACGAGCTTTCATTGCTTTGATTTTGATTAATTGAAAGTTAATTGGCCACGAGCCCCACCAAGCCGTGAAACAGTTTTGGTCACTCGAGCGTTTTTCCCGGCACGCCTGATTTGCTGCCGCTTCTACTGCTGATGCGGTGTTAGTGGTCAATTCAAATTACGCTGCGCAGTTAGCAACAATCGCTCGTAATTATCGAACGGCCGTTGCATCGGCTAAGCGGTTATGTTGCACATTGCGTGAGGACTTTGATTAGCAGTTCAATTTGCATTGCAGGTGAAGAACGCCTAATTGCTTTTATGGTTGCGCTGTCACGCGGTCTTGCAGTTGTGTATACTGCAGTGGTTTTAATTTCGGTTCCACATTATTGATTTAACTCATTGCCAGACATTTTGGTATTTAAATGGTAAATTAAGAGATCAAACTCTGATAAAAATACAATTCTCGAATTTAAAGCCGGGTTCAAACAATTGCTATCCGAAAAACTTTTTATTGTAAACACGAATTAAAGCTTAGCTTCGGTGAGCATGGGCTTATTACACTTTTGATATTTTAAAAATGTATTTGCCAATAAAATTATTTCATAATTAAATACTATAACATATTTTGGTAAATTTATTTATGCTTCTATATGGAAGACTTAAAACAGTCCAACAACAAGAGAAAAACATTTTTTTTTTTGCGGTGAAACGATTAAGACTTTTTTAATTAATTTATATATATTTTATATTTTATAGCTTAACTTTTAAAAATGTTTAAATATTTTAGATCATGTGAATTTTCCTTTCCTTTGCATGCAATTATCTTTCGAATTACTATCTTTAATCCTTTTTTTTTTTAAACCAATCGTTAAAAACTTAAGTAATTAAATATTGAGAAGTATTTTCTTAAAACTAAAATCATACATTTAAATACACATTCTTATACACTCATAATAATTTTAAAAATGTCTTTATGTGTAAACAAAATTGTTGTTTGCAAAATAAACGGAGTTCATATTATTTATGTAAACAATAACCATGTAATTATTGGCAAAGATAAGCACAAATTATGTTAGCTTACTTGTTAACACCTTTTTACAACATTTACCACTTTTCAAATATTTGAACACTACCGGTAATTATTTTGATGTCTTCCTTTTAACACCTCATTGCTACCTTGCTAACATTTGAATTGTGATACCCGCCATCTATTGGCCATTTCACCAAACCATATATGGTAAGGTTTTATGCTTTCGTCGACTTTCGTCGAGTGCGATCGAGTTCGTGTCTTAACTCTTTCGTTACAAGAGCATCACTTTTTTTTCAACAGCACCAAAAAGTAGGCAACACAATATGCCATTTGTCAAAGTGCAGGAGAAAAAGAAAAGTTTCGGCCAAATTGGGTGACGACAGTGAATCTGCCCCAAAGACATGAAAAAAACCGAAAATGCATATGTTTACGGTCTACTAAGTCGAAAGCAAAGACAGAGAAGAATGGCAAATGCCAACGGCAGTCACGCACGAGCTCAATAGCTTAGAACGAGGTAAAAAGTGGGAATATAATTGCAAACGAAACTGCATTTCGGGGGCTTTCGCAGCGAAATCACGAAAGCGCAGCTCCACTGGCCAACAGCATCTGGCTAATTGCCGTGATATTTAGACTAAGACAAAGCGTGTGTTTTTGTGTTTTTCAATTTCAGGCAGCCGGCCGACATGCGATTTAGCCGCCACAGGTATAAAATGCATAAGATCCACCGGCCAGCACTCAGTTGAGCACCCAAACAGCAGCGCCCGGCGTCTTCACTCCAGTTTATGCCTCACCCCAAGGATCGGCCAAGGATCCTCTTCTCGTCCAGCATCGAATAGCAATATCCAGCCCAGTCATGATCAAGTACGTGTGGCATGTGGCGGCCCTGATGATCGTCTTCTGTTGGCTCTCGAGTGCCCGCAGTGCCAGCTACCAGCATCAGAGCCTAAACAGCCTGAGTTCGGGTCCAAAGCCGCAGACTAGCAACCCCGGAATGGGTTCCACGGGCTTCTGGAAGGACATGTCTATGATTTATCGCATCTACCAGCAGTGCACTGGTGACAACATGTCCGTTTGCCTCAAGGTCAAGCTGCTAACCGGTTTGGAAAAGGCCTTCCGTTCGGCCAAGACTTTGCCGCTGTTGGAGGGCATTCAGTTCGTCAGTTCCGGTGACGTGAGTGAGGAGCCGAAAAGAGCTCCCATCAGCGAGCAAGACATCGAAGCCGTCTTGCCGAGGAGCGTGGACGCCAAGGAGCAGGTGCTGAACAACATGATCCTGAAGCGGGTGGGCAACTTCCTACAGGATCACACTCTGCAGGTGAGTGGATATAGAAACTCAGAGGTTAAGCAAGCAATATATATTTTTTTTTAATATAACTAAGAAAATTAAGAGTTTAAAGCATAGAAAAAAATATCTGATCAAGATAACCTGTAAAATTTTAGTACTGGATACTGTTTAATAATTCTCTAAAATAAAGCCCATAAGTGTTTCTATCACTTAATTATGGACAAGCAACAATCATCTGAAGGAAAAATCTTATAATTTTTAATATATTCTTATTACGTGTCTTAATAAAGTTCCGGCTTTTTTTATTGGTAGAGTTCGGATAAAGCTTTTTGGAACTATTTAAAAAAGGACAAGATAGATTGGGTTAAAATATTTTTTATTTTAATCGAAGATAGTTAATAATATTGTTTATCTCGAGACCACTAATTGGAAATCACTTAATTTTAAATGGGATATAGTAAAATTCGAATTTAAATACTATTTATCTATAATCGTAAGCTAAGAAGGTCAAAATGAGGTGATTATAGCAAGTTTGAAGGCTGTGTCCTTTTGTTGAAGTTTCAATTCTGTAAGCACCGTAACAAGAAACTAATTTGTATAATTTATATATCCCCCAGGTGAAATTTGACTCCGAGGCAAATTCGGTAGAGGGTCGCAAGAAGAAGGAGAAGAAGGGCAGCGGCGCCATGATCATGATCCCCCTGCTGCTGGGCGGCACCATTGTGCCCCTGGCCTACGGAGCTCTGGCCATGTTGGCCGGAAAGGCGCTGATTGTGTCCAAGCTGGCCCTGGTCCTGGCCTCGATCATCGGCATCAAGAAGCTGCTGAGTGGAGGCGGCGGCGGAAAGGAGTCCTCCCACGAGGTGGTCGTCTCCTCGGGCGGCCATTCCGGCTGGGGTCGGGAACTGGACACCGCCTACAGTGGCTGGAAGCCGGCGCCCAAGGAGTCGGCGGGCAGCGCCAAGAGCCTGTGAGCTCGCATTTGCATTTGGGAAACGGAGGAGCTGGAGAGGATGGGAGATTCGAGAAATACATGTGGAGAGTGAACCAAAGAATCGAGCGCCGCACGAACTGTCTGACTAATGTCTAGTTTAATTCGCCTAATCGATCATTAATTTAACGAACTAAATGTGTGTGTTAGGTTTAAGTAAGCGTTAATTAAATATAGTAAATTCTGCTACCCGAAAATCACAACAAGAGAATTTGTTTAATGTGTCATGGCCGCTCCCTGAACATGAATTTATGATAACAATTACAGTTTCATTGAAACGAGCTTACGTGCGTGCCAAAAATGGCAGACGAAGCTGCTTCGCTTTCTACCAAACTCAATTACAGACGGATACATATTTTAGGTACTCACAGCTGAGGTTAAAATAATAGTGACTTCTTCATGGTTTTCAAATTAAGGAATATCGGAAGATTAATGTAATTGATGTGTATTTAAAAATTAATTGGGAGCAGGTAGTAATGAAAATGCTTGACGTGAAGTTTGGTTACCCAATCAGTTCGATCAGAAATGTTGGAACAAATATGAAAAAAAGTACCTTTTCTAGCTTTAAACTAAAAAAATTATAATTAAAGTGTACTTTCCTTTACTTAATTTTCTTTAGAGCTCTAGATTCCACAATGCTGTTTCAGACCTGTGCACGTGCAGTCTTGTGTTGGCATAAGTATTCCCAATGCAATATTCATAGATAAAATATGCCTCGGCAGTTTCCTAGCTTCTTTGCTGTTTTTCTCCCCTGACCATTGTTGTGGCTGCCTACTTTGGTATGCGACAATTTCACTTTTGGGCCACTGCACGAAATAATAATGAGCTACTCAGAGTAGAACATTGAACCTGGCCGACGACATTCCCAGGCCCCTCGGCCATTTAGTTGTGGGTGCCCTTTGCTGGCGCACTACTGACGTCATCGGCCTGGGACTTTCATTAATTGAAAATTACCCAAGCGCACCAGGGCAGCGGCATGTAAACAACGCCGGAGCTGTAAGCCAAACCCAAAGCCGGAGCTGGGCTGCCACCCGGAATTTCATTCCAGCGAAGCGGAATGAAAGTGAAACTTTGAAAAGGTGTCAAATTTGGAGATGCCACTGAAAAGGGTTGGGGCTGAGCGGGTGGGGCCGAAACTGGGGATTGTTTGCCTCGAATGTGCGATGCTTTAAGTTTCGCATTATCTCCAGAGCGAATATTTCGCATGCCAATTTGGGTCAGCGGGCCAAAAGATGGGCAAGAGGGAGGGGCATCAGGAGATAGCATGCAAATTAATTGAGCACATACTATATGGAAGTGAAGTGAACAGATTTATGAAAATAAATCAGCTAACCAGCTTTTGCCATCAAATTAAAATCCAATTACTAATCTCTCTTAAGTGGATCAAAAATCATGTGTGCAGTTTTACTATTTAACCATAACTCAAAATCCCAGATTATTGTAATATTGCATCACATAATGTTTGAAGTGCCATAGTTTAAATTGTATAAAATGTTAGCAATAATATTACTTTTCACTTTCATTGCACACGCACAAACTTAACATATATGTTGTATTTGGCCTTTATTTACCAACTACACATCGACCTTACAATTCTCTTTCTGAGATATAAAGTGTTACGAAACTAAGATATTTATTAACTCGTAGTTTTACAAAGTTCTAATTTTTGCGGAAATATTTTCAATACAAAATTTAAAATTAAAAAAATTATATTTAAATTTAGGAAAATTAGGAAATTTAAAATTAAAAAAATTATATTTAAATTAGGAAAGTGTAAGCAATATTTGTTTACTCATTGTCTAATAATTTTAAAGAAAAAGGTGCGCTTTGCCATTTTAATTAAACATCTGAGACGAATTACAAAATCAAGATATTAATTAGTTTTTTAGGAAGTTTAGCAGAAATGCTAAATTTAAAAATATAAAAAAATACCTGTATATAAATTACAGTTATTTAAAATTGTTGTTATCTATTTATGAAGACTTGCAATTTTCTTAAAACATTTTCAATAAGTGATGGCTTTTGCGACCCTAAAAACTCGGCATGGTTTATTTGAAAGGGCATTAGGAGACGAACATCACAACGTGACAGTGGCAGTCACATCCATCAAGTCCACGTGCAGGGCATTTACATATTCCATCAACGGATTTTGGGCTCATGTTGCCGCTTTGGATAATCGTCTACGAAATGTCGAGTGGCTTTGCATCTAGATGCGAGTTTTGTGTGGTGTTTTATTTTCTGTGAGGTTGTTTTGGGCAGCATGCAAATCTGCGGCGCAGCTTTCTTTCGGGGCACTTGTCTAATGCGTAAATTACCCGGCAAACGATGGACGATGGATGGAGCGATGGAGCGATGAGACGAGAAGCAGCCGCTACGACGTGTGGCAATTTTCGAGTGCTGCAAATTAAAGCGACATAATGCCAATGAAACTCTCGAGTGCGAGACTCTCTGTGCAACTGTCGGCGATCGGATTGGCATACAAAACTGCAGATACATTATGCGAGATGCCCGCTGGAGGCACAAACAAACACATAAATAAAAAGCAAAATTAAAGTGAAATTTCTTCCACCAAGCGGCCGCGGCTCAAGCAAACTAGTTAATTTTCTATTTTACTCCAATTCGAGTGGCGGTTGCTTTCGACCATCGACGGCCATCTTAAATGGCGCTCTTGATTAACCACCCACCGCCCACCCCCGTCGACATTGCCCTGGTGTGAGTGAGTGTGCGTGTGTGTGGGTAACTGCAATCTGAAATGAAACCACTGCAGCACTTTCTGCTGCACCCGAGCCGAAAGTGTGCCATCATCAGGTGGCGCCTCAAAGGTGCCTTAAATACCTTAACTGACTTACAGCTCATTAACTTTGTAATTATTACTGAGTTTTGCAAAGAACATAGCTCCGCGTTCGTGATGTAAGGAGGCTTTATAATTATTCTAAGCATTCTTTAGCAGACATAATTCATAATTACTTTACACACTGATAGTTCTCGGAAAAAATTAAAGTAGCCAATTATCCTGTACAGTTTGAATTTTAAGGCAAAAGAAAACTCAAAAAAGGATTATATGATTCCATCTTAAATTATTTTTCCTCACATTCAACTTACTTAAATATTACTGAACTATAATTAGGTAGTTTAACAGACCTGCAAAAATTAATTGGCATGAAATTAATAATATGTTAAGCTATACAAATTATTAAAATGCTATGAAACTGCCATAGTTGGCTTCAATTAAAGAAAATAGTAATTATAATTGGTCGCCTTGACAGCAATTTCAAAATATAAATACGATTTTAAAAAACATAGAAAAATACTAATTTTGTAATTTAATTTTAAATATACCGTAGGTTGTTGTTTCTATTTATTTAATTTCTTTTCACTTTCTTGTCAAGTGCCTCAATTTAAAGCTTAGGTGGCTAATACAAATAAATTTGATATTTAAAAGCTGGCTTATTTATTTAGTGTCATCCTGTAAGATTATATCACGAATGATTTATTAATGTCGTATTTATAAATTTTTCAAATGCAGCTTTCCTTCAATTTATATTAAAAGGCTCTTTTCTAATTCAATTTGATATTTAAGTTGTTCATTTATCATCAGGGATTTATACGCATCGTATTTATCACTATGCCAGAGGGAGCTAATAATTCAAACACTGGATTTGCTATCACGGCCCAACTGAAAGTTTCTCTCAATTTAAGGCATACGTTCTTAGTGCAATTAAATTCGATACTTAAATTGTGTCTTTTTGGATTGTCATGAAGGATTTATTAATGTCGTATTAATCACTTTATCAGAGGCACTTTCTTGCCTAGTGGCCCAAGTGCCAGTTTCCCTCGAATTCAACTTTACAGACTTAATCCGAGTAAATTCAATATTTAAAATCTGGCCGATCAATTTATTGACCCAACACAATTGGCCTCCTCCCTGTGGCAGGCAAACAGCTAACTGCCGCCGAAGTGTGTTGACAAACAACAACTACCAAGCTCGGCGACTGCGACGCACCTGTCCAGGTGTCTCTGCTGCGCCTTCGATGGCCACTTCGACTCCGACTTGGACTTCGGCTGCACAACAACCTGGCCAGGTTCGTCGGGTTGTTTATTTAAATTCTAAGCTCGGCTACTGTGTGCCGATGTTGTCAGCCAAGGGGGAGGGGGGTCCAGGGGCCAGGGGCTCGGACCACTTGCAGAGCGCTAAAGCGACAACAACGTTGCCGTTGTCGTTGCCGTTGTCGTTGTCGTCGCTGCTGGCCAGCGCTGCCGCTGCTCTGCTGGCCGGGAATAAAACTCGATCCGCGTGCGTCTTCTAGCCACAGTTTACCGGTTGCCTTCTGACCGACAGATCGAACACGCCAATCGAGCGCAGTGCACTCAATCAAGTGAACACACACATCCCCGAATCGGCAGGAAGTGGCAGGATATCGAATCTGCGAGCCAGTGTCAAGTGTTTGTGCGGAATACGAAAAGGAATTATCCAACCCAGAGCATCATGTTTAAGTTTGTGTGCCTGTTTGCGCTGATCGCCTCCACGGCGGCGGCTGCCTCGGAAGCGGACAGCCTGCTGACCAGCGCCTTGAAGATGGTCAAGGACTGCGGCGAGCGCTCGATGGTCCTGTGCATGAAGGTAAAGAGGGGCAGGGAAAAGTAACGAAAACCGAACCTAATATTGTCAACCCCCCAAAGGAGCGAGCCCTGCACTACTTCGACACCGAGAACGGCGATGTGCGGCTCACCGAGGGCATTGCCCTGGTGAAAACCGATGAGATCCCGGTGGGCCGCTCCCTGAACGACATGCAGCTGCCCGAGGAGGTGGAGGCCAGGGAGGCCGAGGTGGACTCCCTGTTGGTGGAGCGGGTGGCCCGCTTCTTCGGCACCCACACGCTGCAGTTCAAGGTGCCCAAGGACTCCATCCAGGACATGCAGCGCGCCCTCGAGGAATGTGAGTATCTATCTGGCCACCGGGTCCCACTTGAACTGCCGTTCTGGTCTGGCCAAGTCGTTGCCAATTTGGGTTAGTAATGCAGGCGACCAGTTCGGGCAGATGGCACTTCTACAAATCCTGTTTTCACTGTTAACTCGCCGCATATCGAGGTCATCCTGGGATTCTACCGGCCAAGCAGCCAAGTAGCCATCTAGCCATGTGGCTATATAGCCACATAGCGGTGCATTGGCAGCTGGTTATCCGGCAGATAGTTGGCTATTAATTGCACTTTAGTCAGCCAGTTAGCGAGGCTTACTTTCTTTTTGTGCGCAGCGCGGCGACTGCAATTTCCGATTTCTAAACGCAGCCACATAGAAAGCGGTCGATCCTGTTCGCTGGCTAATTATCTGTGCTCCAGTTGCTAATGAGCGGTCGGCTTGGTCCAGCGAAAGTAATGCAAATCTCCCTGTCTCACCACCCGCAGCTCGTGGCAAGAAGAAGGAGAAGAAGAAGTACCTGATGCCCCTGCTGATGCTCTTCAAGCTGAAGATGGCCGCCCTGCTGCCCCTGGCCATCGGCTTCCTGGCCCTGATCTCCTTCAAGGCCCTGGTCATCGGCAAGATCGCCCTGCTGCTCTCCGGCATCATCGGGCTGAAGAAGCTGCTGGAGTCCAAGAAGGAGAACTACGAGGTGGTGGCGCACCCGCACTACGAGCACGAGCACAGCTACGGACGCTCGCTGCCCGTGGACGACTCACAGGCCCAGCAGCTGGCCTACGCGGCGTATAAGCAATAAGCTACTCGATTTGCCAAAAATTCTGAATGCTGAGGCAACCATCAGTGCAATACTCGGAGGGCCGTCTAATTTATTCTATTTATTTAATTTATTTGTATAGCATAGTTCATGCCAGGCTTACACACATAAGGCGCCATCAAGAGAAATAGAAAGAAAAAACACAACTAAACAAAATGTAAAACCCAGAAACCACAGCAAATAGGTCTAAGAAATAATCAGCTGGGGCTGCAGCCGAGGGTGCTGACCTGGCGTCGTTTAATCCTAATCTTAAAATGACTGCCACTTTTGTATTAATATTAATACTCAGAGCTTTACTGTTGGCTACTGCCTTAAAACTCTACGCTTAACTTAACTCGACTCTTAAACTAAACTATTAAACTGAACTGACTAACTCTGAACTGCCGCTAGGCGCAGGAAACAGTCCCCTTGGCCAAGCCCCCCCACACAAATCAATAAAAGAAATGCCGCATTTATCTCGAACCGATGTTTTAAGTGTTTCAATGGAATATCACTCATACGCCGCGAAATGCTTTCACTCTTTCACCGGCCAAGGCGAACGAGGCCAGCGATATCAATTGCATGGGCGACACACAAAATCACGGACCAAGATCGCCGGATTTCACTTGAGCCAGCCAGGCGTGGAGCTTCTCCACTTCTCGGCCTCGGTCACTCATCGGTTGCACATACTGCAGTATGCAGCCAGTTACATACACTTTAGTGTATCCGATGTCGCTCCAGAAACTTGCTCACATCTCGGGAAAATCTAATGAAAGTTGCGACCTGCTTTTTTTTGCATTCGCAGTGCAACACGTACGCCCCAAACAAATTGGGTGTGTAGAGTGTGTGGTGTGTGATGTGTGGCTGGGAACGTGGACTCCAGTTCCAGACTGGGAGCACGCCCCGCAGCTGCAATTTATGGCCCGACGGCATCGGCATTCGGCATTCGGCATTTGGCATATAAATGGCCAAAGCCGACAAAACGCTCAAAATGGCCAAAAGGTCTGCCATCCGCCTCGTGTGTCTTTTTTTCGTTGTTAACTGTTTGTAAACAACTGCAGGCAACTGGCCGTGAATTTCAAGTATTGGCGGTGAAAGTGTTTATTAATACAATTTCTTTTTTGTCTATGCGCTTTGCAATTGGAAATTTATTAGCTGTCGGCCATTGCTCGCCACCTCCCAATGAAGCGAAACAAATCTTTTACGAAATTACAAAAGTTTTCGGCGACAACCGCAAAGATTAATCCCTAAATCCAAGGCCAAAATTCTTTGAAAATTGTCTAGATGGTGGGTATGATTTGGGTGGAGTCTGAGTTTCCAAAAACTTTATCTAGCCGCTTGTCTGCTCATATTTCCCAGTGAAACCGAGTTTGCCAAAGGTCCTGGGGTGTTAAAATGTCAGACACTTTCTTAGGGGGTATTCAAATTTCCCCAACTGTTAGGACCGCGAGTATACCTTTTCGTTTTTGTTATTTCAGTCAAATCTCTTGACGTGCTGGCATCACCAAGTCAGAGTTTTAGCTTTTACTTAAACTGCCTAAAAGTTGGCAAAGGTTTCTCTCTAGAGCTTCTGAGGATTATTCAACAAACTATTTATACTCTTCAGCAAAGGCACACATATTGATTAAAGTGCTATTTTAAAAACGAATATACAATAAAAATATTGACCTTCTTTATAATAAGAGGCCTTTATAAAAGTCAAACTTGTGTAACATTAAATTATATATTTACGAGATTATAACGAGATCAATTGGTTCCACTATTGCACTTAGAAAAGTAGAAGTAATATTTTAAGCTCAACCTAATAAATAAATCATTTTCAATTTGAAAAGAGTACGTAATTATTTTGTAAATTCTTAGACAAAATTGTATTATTTTAAATAATATATTGACCAAACATGTTTCTTGCCTTGATTTGCTTGTTTTAAATTTGTTCAGCTGGCTTGTAAGCGAAGGTGTTCCCCCGATAAAATAACTCTGAGCCCCCTTTTCCGCTTGTTTGTTTACTTAATTGACTTGCAGCAATTTTCAAGTTTTTCTGTGTAAACGATGGAACATTTCTGGCAATTCCCTAAGCGTCTCCGTTTATTTAATGGACTGGCATTAGCAATGGTAATTGTGGATTTTCCAAAGGGGTCCGAATTGTGGCGCCTGCGAGTATTTCATAATTTCTGTGGAATAACAATAACCCCTTGCATAATGGTCGAGATGTGCGAAAAATTGGCCACCAGTCGCCGCGGCTTTGGGTCGTGTGCACTGACCATGACCATGCCGGCTTAAATAAGAAGCAGACGAAGACGAAGAGCCGCCACTTGGCGTTGATGTAAAACAATTTCCGTTATTGGGCCATGTGCAAAAAGCAGCGCGTTAACTGAATGGGAGCAGATTTGGCCAAAAGACCTGTTGATTATTGTATAACAAGATGTGGCGGATATAAAACCCAAGGGTCAGTTGGCCAGCGGGCTCAGTTGAGATCTAAACACTTGACCAAGATGTCGCGACTGGATGTGATTTTGGTCCTGGTCATTTTCCAGCAAGTGATTGCCAGTGACTTTTCCGGCATGAGTTCGGAGTTCAAGCAGTGTGTGCGTGGATCGCAGAAGCCGAAGCTAAGTGAATGTGTGGGACGGTCCGCCCTGAACTTCATCCAGAGGTTGGATGAAAGCGATAACATCAGATTCGTGGACGATTTGGTGACAGTGAAAAGTGAAACACCCGCAGTTAGATCTCTGGCAAATGTTCTGGATACAGATCCGGTGGACTTTCGCGGGATCCTGGAGAACGCTGGTGCCGTGATGGGTCAACGAAGTCTCGAGTGGCACATGGATGGCCTTTATCCTGGTCTAATGTTCAAAATTGGTCCCACTGCGGACGCGAACAGTGTGGCTGAGTTCGTCCTTGAAGGAGCGGGGCAGGGGGAGCGCCAATTTGGATACGAGGAACCCACAACAGGTAAGGATTAACTAAAATCGTGATTTATCCAAGAATTTTAAAGAGGCAAGAAGCCTTTAAAATCTTTAGTTGTTGCCAAATAAGTGAGCAGGGTAAATATTTAATCTTATGTTCCATATCTTATTTATAATTCAAATAACTTTACTTGTGAATATTTATTTCAAACAAAGAGTATCCTTCTACTAATTTTTCGGAATACTTTTCACAAAAAACTAAAACTAAACTTTGGCAATGTTTCTCTAAGTATAAGAACTTAACAATCAAAACTATTACAGTACATTAAAAACAGTGAATCAAAGTTAAAGATTAATTTTTTGAACAGTTTTAGTTTAGGTTATTTAATTATTTTTTTTTTAATTAATTTGATACATATTTTCAGGTCGTCTTCTGGCCAAGCAATATTTACTGCCCTTTCTTTTGGGCCTCAAGTTTAATCTGGTTGCTCTTGTTCCCCTGCTATTTGCTGGTATTTGTCTGCTTCTCAAAAAGTCTCTGTTTTTGGTCAAGTTGGCGATATATGTGAGCAGCTTTTTGGGCCTGGGTGGAATCATGGGCTCACTGGGCGGATTGGGAGGTCTTGGTGGTTTGGGTGGTGGTTTTGGAGGCGGTAGTTTTAGCAACTTTGGCTCCAATTTTGGTTTCGGTGGCGGCTTTCACGGCCACCGACCAGTGGGCCATTTTCCTGGAAAAACCACGGTATTTGGACAGGGCCAGGATGAGCTGCACCACCAGTATGATGTGCATGAGACATCGCCCTACCGTCGCAGTGAGCGGAAGGTGAGATTCGAGCAGCCACGAGGAGCAGAAACGCCGGTACAGGCACCACCATCCAACCCCAAACCAACCACCCAAGACCGCTTCTACGACTTTGAGAACCAGCGCAGGCCCAGTAACAAACTATTGGCAGCCAGTGTGCAGCAGGAGGGAGAGCTTCTGCTGAGAAACTTCCAGGATACCCAAGGAGTGCAGGGATGGCAGGCGTTGGACGTGAGATCGCTATAGGCCATAACTTACACTCCACAAAAAATTGCATTTGTATGTATACCTGGTGGAATTATTTTCTTGGAGATATGAAATTGTATTAGAGTAACACATGGTCCTTAGATAAAAAATATAGTAAATGTAATTTAGCTATTAATATCATATAAGGAAATGCATATTTATAAATAAATACTCTTGTCAACATATTACATTTGTTTGTATTAGTCTACATGAATACTCCACATTAGACATCTGATTTTAGGCAAATCCATACTTTCACTGAGCAGTTCAAAAATGTTTTTGGTTGAATACAAATGTTTTTCATATTACAACTTTGTACATATCTTTAGCATAAGATCATATATAGGCAAATTTCAATAGGCTTTGAACCTTTTTACCTGTTTATAATAGAATGATGTGCTCTTAAGTGGACATGTAGTAATTTAAATCACCTTGTGTTCTAAAAACAAAAATGAAAAATGTCTAAAATATATAAATTGATCAATTGAACCGAATTTTGCTTACCCTTTATTAATATTTATGTCACCAAATGAATTTAAGGTATCCATTTTTGGAATCATCTTGGTTCAATCATTTTTTTATAGTGTATGTAAGCTGTAATTAGTCAAACTTAGTGAGTGCTTTCCAAAATGAAAGTTAACTTAGCCGAAAAATTTGGTTTCAGTTTTCGTTAGGTCAGGGTTCAGCAAGCAAACTTCTGAAAACATTTCTATTTGATTCCTATCAAGAGAGCAGTGTCGTGCTTTGACAAGCGCGTTAATTGCTACCCCCGGAAAATATCAAGGCATTATAAGTAACACAGCCGAGCAACTGCCTGGGTTATTTGTGGTTCAAGAGGCGCTTAAAGCGGTTTCATTATAGTGAAGTTTGTTAAGTTTGGAATATGTGGCGTGTGCTATTGCTGCAGTGCGTAATTCTCAGCAGTTCGGTCCTGGCTTTAAGTCATAAAGGAAATGAAACTTCTGGTCAAATGCCCACTTCCCAGTGGAGTCCGCGGAGTCTGGGAAGGATTATAGCCCATTGCCTGGGTGGCTTGGAGGTGTGGGAGTGTTTGGGCTCCGAAAGCGAGAGATTGCTGGATGGTGCCACTAAGGATAACAGCACCTGGCAGATCAGCGATTATCTAAGCATTGAACCACAGGCCGGATTTAACAGTCAAGAAAGGAGGCGGATGGATGCTGGCTTACCCGGAAAATTGCTGGAGTTGGTCCAGGGAAGAGCTCTACGAATTCAGCTACCACGGCAGTTGACCATTTCGAATGCCATCGATGACTTTGGCAGCGAACTGGGCCTCGATCAAGGTACTTATGCGAGCGTAGATGATAAAGTCGATAAGTTGATAGGAGGATTTGGTAGTTTTGAAGTGCATGCCTCAGCCTATGATAAAGATAAGGATAAGCAGAAAAAAAAGAAAAAGTCTAAGAAAAAGAAAAAGTCTAAGAAAAAGAAAAAGAAAAAGCCTAAGAAGAAGAAGTCTAAGAAGAAAAATAAAAAATCTAAGAAAAAAAAGAAGAAAGACAAGTATAAAAAAAAGAAAAATAAAAACTGCTCCAAAAAAACAGGTCGCAAAAAGAAGGACAAAGACAAGCACATGGCTATGATGGGCGGCATGATCATGGTGGCCACCCTGGCCCAAATGTTCCTGGGCAAGGTCATCCTCATCGCCGGCTCCGCCTTCATTATGGCCAAGATCGCCTTGGTCATCTCGCTGCTGGTGAGTAGACTCTGTCCCTAGAACAGTTCTTTCCAAATTGTTGGCGCTACGCTTCTCTCCGCAGGGCAGTCTAAAAAAGGGTTCGACTGGACACAGTGGTAGTGGCGGCGGTGGTGGCACGGAGCACGTGGTGGTCCACTCGAGCCACGAGAGCGGCTGGCACCGCAGCATGCCCACCCACGACTACGCCTCCTCGCAGCTGGAGCAGGTGGAGGAGCCCCCGCTGGGCAACCAGATGGAGTTCTACCAGGCCTACCAGATGGAGCCCCTGAAGCGGCGCCTGCATCAGGTGGAGATCGCCCCACAGCAGCCACGCCCAGAGGCCACCAAACCCACTCGGGGTTTTCTTTAGACATTAGGATAAGACTCAAAGTGTGTCCATATCATCACGCACTGTACCCATCCATACATAAACATAACAAACATTTGGTTAAACTAAGATGATCCTTTTGTTATTGCTTATAAATTGACCTACAAATTTCACATATTTCTTAACTTAAAGCTTCTTAATTTCATAAACATTCATTTACTACAAACTTTATGATTTCAAAATTTTATTAAGTAGTATTTGTTCTTAATTGTACATATTTATTTAAAATGTAAATGAATAATAATTTTGTTAGATATTTATATATGCTGTATTTGCGACGTGCATTTTGATATACATAAAAGTTTATTTACTTGTTAAACTTGAGGTTAATGCTGGCTAAAATACTAAAATAAAACGAAATTATTTTTTTCCATAAAGCATTGCCCTTTTAACCTGAAGGGCACATATATTTGGATCAATAATTGCCTCATTATTTTATGCCATTTTAAAATGAATTAATTGTGTTGAACACCAATTATAAATAGTAATTACAGTGAGAAAGAATTTTACTTTTATTAATTTATACTGACGTTTTAAATTACCTATTTCAACTTCCAACATATTTCAGCCAGCAAATTTAGAAAAAGGAACCATTCCAACGGCCGAACTGACAGATATTTTCGGAATAGAATAATTTAAAGTATATACTGTTTCAGAGGTAAGAAGAGCACGGAAACCACACCGCCAAAAAAAGGAGACTGCGCACTTGAAACTCATTTCTTTTAATGATAGCTCTGTGGTAACATAATAACTACGATAACTAAACTTAAACTGGAGGGCTGTCGAGTGTAAATACAATTTCATATAGATTGGACTAAGCGGGGTTCATGGGATCTTTGGTTGTCGAGCTGCTGACCCCGGAACGACCTCCGCGCCCCCTTATCGCGACCCCTTGGCGGCGGGCGAGGGGGCGGAGGCGGCCACCTGGGGCATCCAGGCCTGGTAGGCCTTGTCCTGCATCATCATCTCGTCGTCGATGCTGCGGTGGTAGGATCCCCCGTCGTGGCCGCCCGTGTCGTACTCGCCCTGGTGGCTGGACGAGTAGGTGTGGCTCTGCTGCACCTGCGGGTGCTTGACGATCTCGTAGGTGGTCTTCTCGCCGCCGTCGTGACCCACCAGTTTCTTCAGCCCAATTATGGCGCTAATGATCAGGGCTATCTTGCCCACAATCAGCGCCTTGCCCGCCACGATGGCGATCGAGTGGTAGGCCATCTTCAGAATGGCCGTCTTCAGCAGAACGGCGGCGATGAAGGGCCCCAGATACTTCTTGTCGTCCTTCTTCTTGCGACCCTCACTCTCGCCGGCTGGCAGGAAGTAGCCGAGCAGGTGCTGCAGCCAGTCCTGGCCATTCCGCTCCCCGAAGCGCAGTAAACGGGGCAGGTTCACCTGTAGCTGGTGGCTGTGCACGAAGTTGAGGAAGCGCTCCAGCAGCAGGGCGTCCAGGCTCTTCCCGGACATGTGCTCCAGGTCGCGGTTGCTGAGCTGGCCCTCGACCAGACTGGAGCGGCCACTCCGTGTATCCTGGCCGAAGGACTCGCGCCGCACCAGGCTCACGCCGTCCACGATCCCCAGCTGCTGGACCTTGAGGGCGCGGCCCAGGAGGCGAACGCCCTGAATCTTGCAGCACCAGAAGACGTCCTCGCTATCCGCACACTGTCCGTACACATGGCGCACCGTCCGCAGAAGGCCGCTCTCCGGGGAACTCGAATTCGTCGGGGCTTCCAGAGCCCAGGCCTGAAAGGCCGCCAGCAGCAGGGCGATGAGCAGACCCAGACGCGAATCCATTCTGTGCGTATCCCCAATCCTTGTGATCTCACTCTCGTATTTCCCTCAATGCCGTCTTGCTGCAGCTGCTGGCGAATCTCTTGGCCAACTGATCTTGTGCGCCAGTTTGTCCGCCAAATTTATACACTTCACCTTGCCACAATTAGCCAAACAGCCGTTGCAGCCAGTTTTGCTCTTGCTGCCAGCAACAATGCACTAAGGAAAAATGTTTACTTTCTTGACTAATTATTTTGTTATTTCAAATATATATATATATATATATATATATATATATATAGTTCATGAAAAAGTGTCAAATAAAATACAATTATAAAGCATAATTAAAATAAAAAATATTAAAATAAAACAAATAAACTTTCGGATAATAATGATTATATTATATTTATAGAGCGGAAACTGGATATATTTTGTTTAAAATAATATAATAAAATAATATTTATTGGCTTAAGCAACATAAACACGTCATATTGATTAAAAAAGATTTTTTTCTTCGAACCCATTTCTCCCTGAAGCTATACAAATTTGTCGATTTATGATGCCTTTAACAATAACTCTCTTTGAAGTATAACGCTTACTGTGAAATTTTGACGGTTTTTTCGAAAATTTTGCCGTTTTCGGACTATACTTTTTCCCAGTGCAACAATAGCTATAAATGTTGGCTATTCAGAGCGTAGTATGCATGATGAGTGCAGTCGGGAGCTGCAAACTGCCTGCGAGCCACTAAAGCAAAGCTTGGCTGCAGATTTAGTGCAATCTACAGCCTGGCTATAGGGGGCCAATTTCATTGCTCATTGCCGTAATTAGCAGATCTGGGTAATTATTCCAGTCTTTATACCGGTGGCCCGGCTTAATGATATTTTCAACCTCCTCCGAACGCCCACTTTCATCGGCGAGAGCCGAGATCTCCTCCTTCGTAGGCTTTCGATTGCACACGCGAAGATTTGGGCATACATATTTATTAGACAAGCGCATCGAAACCGAAATGAGTGCTGATTGGATGGAAAATTATAGAATCACAGCGAGATGTGTCGCCAGCAGCAGAAAAGTTAATGAAAGTGGCAGCCACGAATTATCCTGCTTCGAATTGGAATAATCGCATACACCCTGGCTCACTGATTTGAGAGAGGAAAGCATAAAATTAGCGTACCATAAAGGATACATTAAGACGGCAATTTCCACCAAATCCAATTTGTTTTGTTATTTTTTTAAAACTTAAATTAACAATTTCATAAAGCTATGATTAACATTAAAATAAAAAAAGTTACAGCTTTGCCTATAAAAATAAATAATTTACAATTTTGTTTAAATTTTTAGAAATTTTTGCAGTCTGTAAGAAGAATTTTTTACAAAAAGCTGTTAAATTATTTAGCTTCAGCCCAAGTGAATAAACGTTACAGTTAAATTGTTGTTACGTCCTTATTTTATATCCCATAGCAATTGACATAAAGAAAAGTTGAACGAACTCAATCAGAACGGATTTTATGCTGTTGTCTGGAAGTGCTAAGTAAACACACCCAAATGCAAATAATGCTTAATTGCATTTTTAAATTTGGCTCCATAGAAAAAAAACGGTATTTGTTTACTTGCGGGAGGTGCGATTTGATATAATTTTATTTGCCTGTCACGTAGGCAACCGTTTTTGTTATTATATATTTGGAGAGATAAAAAGGTCTGGAAACAGACTTTCAGCTTGAAGTTTAAGTTTATTGTGCGATATTAAAGTATATTTTAAGCCAGGCAACAAAGCCAAATTAATGCATACTTTCAGGCTGTTTGGAGAAAGGTGAAAGTTTGGCCAGAAAATTTCGCAGAGTGTAGCAACTGAAACAACAAACGGAGCAACACCTCCACGGCGACTCATGCATAATTTATGTTCGGAGCTTCTCATTTATGAAATATTAATTAAAAAGCCGCGCTGACGAACATCTAATGATGGGATTTGCAATTTTATCGCTCCGAAACACGCCGCGGATAGTCAGACACGAAAAGTGTTTTTCTTTTCTAGCGGGAAAGTGCATATCTCTGCATAAGTTTCGGCGTGTTCTACATAGCCAGCCGGAGGACAAACAGTGCACTCTGCGAATGTGAACACAAAAATGCAAAAGCACTTGCCGCTGCATAATCCGCCGGCGATAATTTATGATAATTCACGTTTGGCTCACACGCAATCCGACTTTCGATGGGCTATCCACTGCTAATAGGCCGAAAACACTGGGCCAACTGTCGGTGGCAGCGCCAGTTGCAGCAGCCCGCAATTTGCAGTAATTGGCATTTTATGTTAACAGCGAGCAAACAACCGAACGCTTAGTGATCGAAGCCAATCGTGGGGCTTACACCGAGAAAAGCCAAAACAAGTTCTTGCATTTAGTGCCAAATGAGAGATAGCAAAAATCACAACAAAGTACTACAACAGGCAATCAGTACATCCAAATCATCTCGCAAGACCCCTTACGCGAGTTTCCAGCAGTTCTCGTCTTCGCCGCTACAACCTTCCAATCCGACGCTAATTTATAGGACCATGTAGTCGCTATTCATTTAAAATTAAACTGTTAGATAATGTATTATTTTAAGATTTGCAACCTTATTGTTAGACTAATACCATCAAAGTTTATAATTTTTTTCATTCAATACATTTAATTTAATTTAATTCCTAGAAATATAAGATTATTAATTTTAAATATATAAAAAAAAAACCTATAGTGAGTACACCTTTTTAAAGCATAAGCATTATATTTTATTCAAGGTTAAATAAGTATTTTTCCGCCAGTGCAGAGGCGAATAACTATAGCAACGAACTTGGCCAAGATCGGCACGAACGTTTCCCCAAAGCCCAGGCGATTTATTTGGCCTTTGTCTCCGCGTTCGACTCCAACTCAATAAGGCAGAATACACAATTCTGCGGCCATTTGGCTGGGAACCTTTTCGCCACCGAACAATTGCATAAAAGAAAAGCTCTTGTGCTTGTTTTGGTTTTTCCTTTGCTGGTGAATTTTTCACTTTCACTCTGTGTTGACATCGAAGTTCGCCCCCGCCAAGAAAACCAACCGAGCCTGGGACCCGGGACCGGAGATGTGGGCACAGGTTGCGATGGCTGGAGGGCAGCGGCGGAGTTGGAGCTCCAACTCCCAACTCCCACCTCCTCTCCTCTCCTCAATCAAATTAAGTGCCGCGGGCCAATTACGTTTCACTCTGACCCCTCGACAACCGATGAACTGCAGCGCAGCGTGGAAAGCCGGACCGTGACTATCGGGTCCGATCGGAGCGACTGACTGCCTGCTGTCTTGATGAATTTATTATACGCTTGTCTCTAGCGTTTTCCTTAAATTATACGTCTGTTTGTTTGCTTTGGCCCTACACAAGCCCGTTTTCACTTGCCCTCAGCGAGGGAGGACTTGCAGTCAATTCAATTTTATGTCTAATGTTTTGCTGGCAAATCTCTTTAGCAGGCGGCAAAAAATATTCTGTGGCGAATTTCAATTTCATTCGCCCTGCGGCCAGCGACAAGGAACTCAACTCACTTGACATGCCGCATTTATTTTTCTCGTGGAAAACGTTGCTTTGCATTTGCTCGCCTTGAAATTATCCCACAAAATCCCGAGGCGTGGGCCTGTCGTCGTTATGGCATATTTTGAGCACCGAAAAAAAACCTATTTAATTTAAAAATATTTTTTAGTCTATTAAATTCATAATCTCTCTTATAAATATTAATTTTGTTGTATTAATTAAATTGTGCTATAAGACTTTTCTATTGTATTTTTATTGCAATATAACCTAATCAAATCTTAATTTTAAACTATATAATATGTCTATTTCTAAATTTTTGACTTTTATTTGTCTTTCCAGGCCATGTGTCAGTTTATTGTCGATTAATATTTTTTATTGCCTAAAAAATTTGTTCTTAATTTTCCGGTGTAGTCGCGAAATTGTATGTTTATAAATAAATTTTTATCAATTACATCTGTGCTTAAATTATCATGGTTTCTTCCCGTGTGGTCATACATTTTTCTGTTTATAAATACATCTCCCGCGTAATTTAATCTGCCGCATAATTTATTTTATTTTTAAACGAATTTGTTCGTCATTTTTTCAGTGTGGACCTGAAATTGTTAACTTATAAATAGCTTTCTGTCGCCTATCAATTACATCCTTGTTTCAATTGTCCTTGTTTCCTGCCGCGTTGTCCTGAATTCGTCAGTTTATAAATTCGTCCCCCGCGTAATTTAATCTGCCGCATAATACTCAATTATGGCGGCACCACGAGAACACTTTGCAGCGTTTCGGGAATTTCGCAGTGCATATTTGCGGTGAAATCCGAGGCCCGATCAAGGAGTCCCACATGAATGGCAAAGCAAAGTTCACAGCGATGTTAAATGCCAATCAAGATGGCCGGCCGAGCCATCGACGTTTGCCGCTGGAGCAGTCGGCATCTGCTCATCAATCAACCTGGCAGTCCGCCACTGGTAACAGGCAACAGGCATCAGGCCACGGCCACAATAACCACTCTGACGTGGCTGGCGAAGAAAGTGGTGTGCGAGTCAATTGATTTAACAGACATCCCCAAAAGCAGCCGCATCACATTAAGCACTTGCGCATTTTCCTTTAGTTTGGCCACATTTTAGGTGAATTTAATGCCCCGGCAGTGTCGTTTTCATTGCCATTGCCATTGCCACAGGCAAAGACTTGACAGTCGGTCGGCCAAAACAAAATTTCATTTCATTGTGCGCATTATTATAATTTCTGGTCTCAGACAAACGGCGCCCGGGGCGGATACTTAATCCTGGGAGCAAATCTCACTTGAGGAATTTGCGCAAATAAATCACAATTTGAATATGGTTTTGGGGATGGTCGAAAAGGGATGGTCAAATGCGTTTTTTTCCTGCCTCTCTTTTGCGGTCGCCTAACAAATGACCAGGCTTAACCCCTTGCCTCGGTATTCCGTACCTTTTTGCAACAGAAACATTTTCGACTACGGTTCAACGGCCCCCACCGTTGGCCATGGA